AAGTATCGGCTTAAGATGTTTCTGAAGAAATCGAGAGTTTGATGAAAACGGACGTTGGGAAGAAAGAAAGAGCCGTCGGCTTTGCCAAAGTGTTTTTTGCGAGATTGTTCTATGAAATGTACTCACGTTCTTAATACGGCTGGAGAGCGTCGCAATCAACAAAATACAAGGTGCTAACAAATTAGATACGAATTGTCTTAAAACCAATTACTTATCAATATTACCTATGTCAGTGTTAGTTTTTTGTGAAAGTTAAGAAAATACGCTAGTTACTAATAACACCCTGATAGTAAACATACTTATTACTACTTCCATACCACTCAGCGATTAAAACCTCTTCAATGTTACCTTTTGATACATTTCACTGGGTGGTTATGTTGGGATATAATTTTTTTGTATGGCAAAGCACAATTTTGAAATTGTATGAACACCTACTTTCGATTTGTATTTTAAATTGATTCTTCTGACTCATTTTTTAGCACCTTATACATTGATCGAAATATACATATATATTACACTCAGTACTCACACGTACCTATTCACGTTCGTCAACAATCTCGTGCTGACAATTTAAGATCATCATCACGAGATCAGCGAAAGAACTTGACAGATGTAAGCATGTAAAAACCATAAATGTTGATCGTTGATTTATCTTTTTTTACAAGTAAATGAAATTATTATTACCAAAAACCATACACAATCTTCCCCACTAATACCTATACCTAGACAGTTGATTCTCAGTATGTTTGATTATGACAAAACCATATTTATCATCGTATTAATTAAATTTTTATTGAATTTGTATTCTATTATTCTTTGTGAAATTACTCCACTAGTTTGTTATAATTATTAATACAAGATAATAAGGTATGCAAGAAGACGTCGGTTCGAATCCGACCGGATCGAAGGAATTTTTTCTGAGTGTTCGATCTTTGTATTAATAATCATCTTTAACCGTTATTATAACAAAGAAGTGTTATCAAACCGTGCATCTATTTTGCTTATAGATTATACGGTAGGTACTCGCGGTGAGAAGGAAGTGTAGTTAAGTAGGTGGAGTCTACATCGCAGTCTATTTGGCAATAAAAGCACCGAGTCGACGCTCGGCTTCAATAAAAGCGTCATTAACGGCAATCGGTCGCAGATCACTGCAATCTGCGACAAAACAACCTCATTTGCGCACCTACACAGGGTTGCTTCCAGACAATGTGAAAAAAATTAAAACTTATACCAGATCAAGCTACGCCGCAACGTTGTCTTCCGCCTTCCTCATTTAATCACTTTCCGTTACATTTGTCTAGTCTGAACAACAACACAAACTATTCTATCTGCTTGCTGTTCGACGTAATTTTTGCTTGTGAGCGCCAGTAGGATGAGTGCATATCTTGATGGTGTATTTTGCTCCTTATATTCCTATGGAATTTAATCAAATTCATTCTTTCTTTTTTTGCTTTTATGTGGTATGATGATTGCAATCTTTTAATAATAATTTTGTGAATCTGACCGTGGCAACCCTGCTTGTCCGCGGCGCCTCTGGTAATCCCGCACCAATTAAAACTGCTTATTTCCTTCATTTGCGCCGCACAGTGCCTGTACTGCCTCGTTCTTTTCAACCACACTTTCAATCAAAGAAGGACCTTCACTCCTCGCTTATAAAGTTTCAATTCCTTCTTCATATTCATAGATAAAGTAGCTAATGTCACCATCAAGCTTGGTGAAGCAAACTTAACTGTAAGTGGAGGTAGTAAAGTGGAAGTTGGGGTGTCCTGTGACGATGGAGTATAGGAAATGGCGAAGTAAGTGGGCGCCGGCGAATAAAACAACTCTTTGCTCTGATAATGAGCGTCGAAGCACAGAGTAGACGACCGTCTAGATAGAAATTCGATAAAATAATTGCAGGCTCTAGAGCCTTGAATTTGAATTTCTTATGTAAATTGTATATCAAAATTGTAATGTATAATTTTTTTATTGAAATAGTAAATGGAAATTATCCAAACAAAATACGTCTCCAATATTATTTCGGAAAAAGCATTTAATTAACCGCACGTACTTTATCACTTATGAAAACAGTAGGTACAATATAGGAAATGAAACTACTTTTTCACTTCTCATGCTCTAAAAGTACGTCAATATAGCCTTACGTAGCGGGAGTGAAGTGTATCATTCATGTATCATTTAATCCTTACGTAGTAAATAAATCTATTTTTTTTTATTTACCTACTTCGAGTGAACAAACTCAAACAGCCAGTAGTACGCTCGGTTTCAGTTCCGTGGCCATATTATTTTCCGACGATAGTGCGTTTGTTGTATCTGTATCTAGTCGGAAAAAAAATTGCGAAAATTTCAAACTTTTGGTTCATACTTTTGTTTCAGAGCAAAAGCGATTGAAATATTGTTATTTTTCTCGCAATCGAAGTGAAAAGTTAGTTTTCACCTCGAGACTAAATGCCAATATAAATCCTCGGAGTAATAGACTCCCTCGCTAAAGCGTCGATAAAAAATACTATTTCATATCCAAATCGCGTATATTTGTTGTTCAAACAAACCAACGTTTCGGTTATACAATAATACCTAGACAAAACTGGTTGATGACTTTACAATCTCAGACAGCCGTGACCTTGGGACCTGTAAGGGGCCCGGTACGGTTGGTTTGTTTGAAACAACAAATATACGCTATTTAGATCTGAAAAAATTGTTTAATTTCGTATGTGTAACAATCGCGAAAACCCAAGAACTCGAAATAAAAAATCTTTCTATCAAAAAATAATCTTTTATAGAATTACAACAACATAGAGCAATACATACATACATACATAATGTTGTGAAATGTAATATTTGTATTTTTTTATGTTACAATTCCTCGCTAAACTAAATCCGAAGTCTAACTCTGCGTCGTGAACTGCTCTATGTAATGAAAAGCCTATTGAGGATGCAATGTTCTCGCTCGAGTCTCGGCAGTTCGTTTCCGAGGTATTGAACCTCACGTGTCGCCTGCGCGTGCGACTACGCGGACTATTTGTTTTCGCTTATTTTTCTACTTCGCGGGTTAGAAACGACGTGTGGACTGTTAATTATATTAAATGTCTGTTCTATTAGTATCTATTTTACCTTGTATATTTACGTTGACAATACAGGTTGGTGAATTAATGGCCTTTAATTCAGTAAGAAAAGAAATACACAGAGAGCAAATTTAATTTAATTTAATTTAATTTTAAATTGTTCCTTGTCAGAATCGAACTTTTACATTTTGCTATATTGAAAGGAATAAAAATAATTAGCTACTTGGCAGTTCCGAAATTTGTTGGAACCTACGGTATTGAGTTTTGTGACACTATCAAATGCCTACTGTTATCCGCTCACGCGATACATGCAGCTGTAGACGCATACCACACCTAGAGGTGATGAATTTATACCGATTTATCGGAAATCGAAGTTATAACAGGTAAAAGAACTAATACTAATTGCTATTTCGGTAACTACTCTAGCAAACCATAAAGTTATTAATGCCTGGGTCTGTCATTTAAAAAAAAAATAAAGGACTTCAAAAATACGTCACGACAATCTTGTGTGTTATTGTTTGGGCTGGTGATTTCGGTGTTTATTTATTGAAAACATACCGTAAGTAGCGTTTTTTAAGTTTACCCTGAATATAAATGTTTATAAACTATACTTTAAGGAGTAATTTCATGGTAAACGTTAGAACCACTCAAACGGAATATTATCATATTTACCCAAGTACACCAAAAATTTCATTTGTGCTTTTTAAGTGCAGGATTTGCGGTGTATTACTGCATTTTATTTGAGATGCTTTTGTTTTAGTACGGAAGGTATTTATTTAGCAATGCAGAATAATAATTTTTATTTATAAAAACGAGTATTTAAACTGAATTCTTTTCTAATTTGCGAAACCAATAGCCGCCATTTTGCGGTAGGATGGGCGCATCGCGTGAGCGGTTATTGAGGAAATAACTAGGCTAACAGTAGTATAAAGAAAGAATAACCACTCATACTAACAAGCTGGCTACCGCATTATGAGAACCACCATAGATGAGAAGATTGCAGCATAACATAAACGGGGATTCAACTAGCTGTGCTGAACAGTCTTCCACATAAAGGCAACGAACACTCAAATAAGACCGGTCGCATGTTGGCAAAACACGTTTAAAAATCATCAACTATTGTGTATTGTGTATAGTGGCAGACTGTCTGCCACGCAGAGGTCCCGGGTTCGATTCGCGGGCCAGGAGAAATATTCGTATGGCCTACCTTTATTTCTCTCGTGGGTCTGAATGTAATTTTTGTTTAGTTGTCTATGTGTTTCCCTAGTACGGAGCTATGAGTGTAGGTTAAAAAATTAAAAGGCTGTGGACCGTCTTCGACATACAGGGACATACCTCTACCACAAGTTGACCGTGACAGTTGTCGCTAGCGACCGCGTAAATTACTTCACAATTTTGTACGGCAAATTAGCCTAGCGGTTACAAAAAGAAACAACATTTTGTATACAAACATTTTACACGGTCGCTAGCGATGTCACTGTAATCTCATGGTAGAGACACTGATTTCCATTACGATTCCCTTCACGGTAAACGAAAGATATTGCTGCTAAACATACACAAATTTACATAACTTTGAAATTAAAGACACAAGTGAATCTATTTACATGTCGCCACAGGGATTCAAACCGTGTTGACAACACAATTGAGAAGCAACCGTTCTCCCGCTGGGTAGCCAACAGTAGATATACTATATATAAAGTAACAAGAAAATACTAAGACACTAAAAAATTACTTTAACATTTTAAACTAGTACTAATAATTTTCCTTACATAAACGTTCCTCTTGATAATTAACAAAGCTATCGTTCCGAACAAACAAGGTTACCTTGTTTAGTTCAGCGACATCTAGAGATATCTATCAGGAGATAATACTAAAATAATAAACGTCATCTAGTGTCAAGTAGTATAACTAAAATAAAACCTTGTTATACTTTTTAAGCTTGGGAACAATTTTATTTTGAAGTAGAGCTTGGTAAAAGTGTAATAATTATTTATTTTGCACAATATATATGTTAACAGTACTAATAATAAGAAATATAAATCGTTTACTTTGTCCCAACACGTACATAGGCAATAAAATAACAAAAAGTATAACTAAATAGGCATAGTCTTTACGGGGTTACTGAATTAAAGTATTTTATTTTTTATTATTACTTAGAATACGTATAACTAGCTATTAATGTTATAAATAATACAAATCCGAGAACGTCTGCGTAACAATTATTCAAAAGAACAGCGCCATCTACCACTCGGTGGCCAAATGTCGTGGCCGGTTAGTTCGCTGCTGCTCCTCGCGGATAATGTCGGCGAGCAAGCCCGCGGCTGCGTCCATCTGCTCCATGGGAACTTTACTAAACGTTAGCCGCAGGTGCTGCGAGGTGGCGCCACTGTCATACAGAAAAGCCTGCCCGGGAACTAGCATCAGCCCACGCTTTAACGCGGTGTCAAATACCTGAGGATAGCAAATAATTATTCAAAATGCACTAGGAACAATCTACCTAATGTGCAATAGTTGTACCTACACATTTTTTATGCAGAAACGTTCAAAAGATTTACAGTTTTCAACTGAAAATTACCATATTGTAAACATCATCCACCCCCCTGACTCTGAGCCACAGGAAGAGCCCAGCATTCGGCACGTGCCAGTCGGCCAAGTCGTTGATGCGCGCACGAAGCAGCGAACGTTGCAACGCGTCGCGTCGCTGACGGTAGAAGAGCTGGGACACGCTGAGGTGAGTACCTAGTGATGACTGGTCGGAGAGTATCTTGTTTTGAATTGCCTGTTGGTGGGAAAATGCCGTTAGCAAGCACCTTGCAAGACTTACAGTGGCGATCGCAACAACAATACAACTATTAAGATAATTTATGAAGTTATCGACTGCTTATCTTTTACGGGGTTGCTGTGCCGCGGTTGTGGCATTGACCATGAAAGTAATAAGAGTTAACAAGAATGAGACAAAACACAACGTGATATTACTGGGCTGGCGTGGCCTCGACTACGTACTTGCTCAAATAAGGAAAGTTGTAAGGAAAGTTACGAGCTCGTTGACTCAAATGACTAATAAGAATTTAAATGTTATGTGACGAATAATTAGTAGAACTGTAAATAATAGAAGGCTGTAGCGTACGCTACAGTTACAAGTAACTTTTAAACAACGAGCAACTTAGGTAACCTATATGTGAGAACAATATCCATAAATATTGATAACCCAGATCCGTCATACAGAAAAATATACAATGTATGCGATTTATCATTGACCATTGATATGTGGATTCTACATAATATTTACATTTAGGGAGATACAAATAAGAAAACACCAAAAATACATGATATTAATGTGATGTTCCTGCATGCGCGCTACATTAAGGCATTAAAATTTAACCACCTAGGTGGCCCAATGGTTTGCACTGAGGACACTGGATGAGGAGCAGCCGGGCTTAATACCCGGTTGGACCTTTATGGCAAATACAGTTTTCTAAATTAGTTCTGCTTTGAGTGTTCTGGGTAGTGCCCGAAATTAATTATGTTGCTCTGGTATTCACATTAAAGGGAATTAATTCCTTAGTTTGATACTAGGCCATTGGTGTGGTTGTCTGGCACATTACATTACAATATCGAGTCACGTGGGTTGGCAGTTTCCCGTTAAATTACAAAGTTTCAAAATTACACTGATCAAAATATCGTAGAATAATGATCCCACTATGTGTAAATTATATACGAACTAAAATATATTACGCAACGTATTTCGTTTTGATAAAAAATCTTAATTACGTTAGATGATATTATAATAAATGAATTAGGGGTAATACAAAACCTAAATAATCCTTTATTTATCGTAGAAGCCTTTTTAATGCAGCCAATAGAAATAAAAAAACAGACTAAAATTGGGGATTAGCTGTGTAACGCTTGTGTCTCATACAAGACATGTTAATAGTCCCCTGTCGAATATATATTGCAATGTAAACTTTTTTAAATTTGTGTATGTACTCAATTTACTGTATTAAACTAATTATTCAATAAATATTTGTCTACAGTAGTTCATGTAAGCCCCTTTGGTCGCTTGCCACTAAAACTATTTGTTTTTACAATATTATTACGCGTAGTATAGTCAACGATGGTTACCACAGCAATGATTCTGATGATGACGACTGTACCTGCGATAAAGTATTACTGTGCAGCAGCTCAGCTTGTATCTGCAGTTCGAACCGCTCGATAAGCGGCTTGGGCGCGGTGACCCAGCCCGCGCGGAGCCCCGCGCTCACCACCTTCGACAGGGAGTCCAAGCGGATCACGCGCCCGCACGCGTCCATGGACAGGAATGACGGGATTGCTTTCTGTTGGGATTTCAATATTATAGTATATTAACACGGAACGAACTATTAATATAGCAGAAAACCCGAAGAAAAAATCTGCGCTAGTGGTTCAATAAAAGCACCCGGTAAGGCACCGTGGCGCTGTGTTCAGCGTACAAATCGCCCTAAGCGCCAAATATGATTTCAAAGATGACACACTAAGCAAAAACTGAGAAATGCTTTTGCCAGACCGATGAAACAGCAGAACGTGCAGCGGAGTAGAAAGAGTGGCGCTGCAGATTTTAAGAAGAGAATCTTTTAACGATCCTTAACAATTAATCAAAATCTCACCTCTGTGTAATTCAAGAACATATACGGATCGTCTTCTAGTATCAGGAAATCATACTGACAAGCCAGTTCATAGATCCTTATTCTTCTTTCTTCACTAAGTATAGATCCTGTAGGATTATTCCCAGTAGGAATGGTGTACAACACTTTGGGCATCTTCAGACCCTGCGATAATTTGGCTGATAGAACAGTCTCGAGAATGTTTGGATCTATTCCATCTGAGTCTTCTGGGATACCGATAATTTCTGGATTGTATGGCTTGAGCTGTAACGTGATAAACAGAAGAGAGTGAGATGTTGATACCTGATGTCATACACTATCCTATACTTATAATTTGCCATTGCTTAGAACACCACCTATATCAGAAATAACTCTTGGGGCTGATTTCTTTTTGGGTCGGGTTTCGCTTAAACCCGAAACAATTAAGTATTCACTGAACGTGAAAAATTTGTCTTTGATATTTTACCACCATAGTTTTTTAGTTTTATTGTCCCGCTAGATCTGTTAATGTTTCTATTTACGTAAATAAATTCAATTAAAGTATCAATTAGCATCACTGACTGCGATGAACACGCCGGGATAAGCAAACTCGCTGGTGATAATTGAGTCTCCGGGCTCCATTAGCAGCTCTATGCATTGGTAGATGCCGTGTTGAGAGCCGTTGGTGACTATAACCCCGCGAGAGTGAGGTGGGGGGCGGTGGAGGCACTGTTGGAAATTTTGTAGCGTGTCTAGGAGCGCCGGAAGTCTGTAAGTGAAAAATTCAAACAATTAAATACAATAACTTATGTATGTATTAATTTAATGTGATTAATAGATACTTTCATCTCTCATATTTTGGTGTAAATTGAATATGAAAAAGAAAAACCAAAGCAAAAACCACATAACAGTCCTTCGCCGGAGGACGCCTCGCACAATATTACTTTGCCACCTCCCATTAATGACTTTAATAGTGATAGGTATATTTCGCTCAAGTTACAATGACGATCGCTTTGTCTCAGTATTTAAGTAAACATGTCAAAAACTGACCCCTGTGAAGGCAGGTATTGAAGCGCTGCAGCGAGTTCCTTTCCTTCCATCGTCAGGGTATTCCCAGATCGAGTCTCCAGACGTAATTTAGTGAACGGGAATATGTTTTCATTGGGCATGCCTTCAGCCAGAGACAGCATTTTCTTGCCCACTTTATACGCGAGAGACGCTGTGAATCAAACAATTGATACCTGTCAAGGTACTGCTCTTGACGAATTTTTTAAAGAGCTTTCTTAGTAGATGTGGATTCATTTATAGTGATAACAAAAGTCATTCAAAAATATCGAACAGTAAAGCGAAATTCAGCGTGAAACCATGGCCCATTCGGTGTCGTTTAAGATCCGATAATTTCTGGGTTGGGTTAGTACGTAATATAAATTTTCAATTGTTATTTATTTTTAACTTACAACCTGACTGTAACTGGGTTTGGTTATAACTCTCATCCAAGAGATAGACGGCGTCTGTCTAACGATTTAGGTTTATTAAGTTTTTTTAAATATTTGTAATTTTTTTACCATTTTTACATTTGGTTTGTAGCTACCTTTCCGTCGCTACAAACCTTTTTGTACTTATTATTTTCAATGTGTAATCTTTTTAACGCATTTACACCAAATTTTTTCTTCTTTTTTGCTTATTGGCGGTGCCCTGTTTGGATTACGCCAATATTGAGTTTTTCGCTTAATCTGAAACTATATTTATTTTTGGCGGCTCTTTGTGATATTGTTGTTTAGCGACGAAGGTGCCACGCAAATGAGTTATTAAATTAAATCCATAAATACATTTTGCCTGATCTTTTCACTTATCGTTTTGGTTTATATACACGTACATACGTGGTATATTCGATCCACTAAAAAGTAAATAACACCTTTTACTCTAAGTCATATTTTTCTAATCTACTAAACTTTTTTATGCCTATTTGAATATTGTATATAGTTTAGATATTTTTAGAATCACGTAATAAAACAAAACAGAATATTTAAATAATAAACTTTTTTATCGGAATGTTTAAAAGAATGTTTACAAAACTGAGTTGACGCGCAAGATTACATTTTCGGTTATTGCCCGCCTGATGTAATATCACAAGACATACTCATTATCTTGTGGCACCAATGTGTGGCACACTATTTTTTATGTAAATATTTGTCGGTGTAGTAGCGGAAATACTTTTAGTTTTAATCCTTCCTTACTTTTTATTTTAGCTCTCTGCTATGTATGTACTTATGCCTGTATCAATAAATATCCTTGCAAGCTTGAATGCGCATCAATAATTACTCATTGACATGTCTGAGCGTGTCAAACTTAAAACGTCACTTTATTCTCTGACGTCAGTCATCAATCACATTATGCTAAAATCGTTAAGTGCAGCAGCAATGATTATATTTGAGTGATGATTTAATATTTTTTTTTACAAAATATCGCCACGAGCGTTTCCATGTACTGCGAGACACTTGATAACAGAAATAGAAAACAATTGTTTTCAATTGCTATTGTCTAGTTTGTCATCAATCAATTTGTCATTTTTCTATTGTATTAAATAATCTCATTTTTCGACAGGAATACGACGGATTTTTTAAAATATTAGCGTATGACAGCCAAGGAAAGAGTTGCAAAAATGACATGCAATTGATGTTCGGTCAAAAAGTGTGTGTGCGTTATATTAAACAAGGGATATGAAAAATGAATGATTCTCGCGCATGCCGACAATAATTGGAGATGTACCTACTAAGATGGTATCATCCAAAATATCGATTATTATTGTCTATTAGTACGGGAGAGCTTGAGCACATCTCATCATCGGAGTGACGTCCTAAATGTAGTCCTCTCGCCTTTCAATTTCCACTAATGTCGATGCGCTTAGATATATAATTTAATAACAAAGAAATACCTAATAAAAGCAAAATGTGATCACGTTCCATTTACGTTTCTGCCCCTTTCATCTTCCACTCATAATAATTCTAATAATGATAATGATAAACACTACTTACTGATCAGTCTGGTTAAGGCAGGCTCTCTCGTCAATGATCTAGAACTAAAGTATTTCTGGTAATCCTTATCCTCCAGCGGTCGGTATTTGGCGCTGAAATCTGGGCTCGCTTCATTGTAGTACTTGAATATATCCCCCGAGTCCTGAGACGTTTTACCGTTCTGGGAATTCTCATTACTCAACGAGAATTGGTTTTTGGTAACACAATAGATTGGTCGAACTTCGATCATTTTTTTGAGGACTTTGTTATTCATTTTTACTAGCATTTTGGCTTCTTTATTAAAAATATTCTTATCTGTTCTTCTTAACACTTTCTTTCTTTTCTTTTTAATAAATTCTTCTATTTTACAATTTCATCATTGAACGTTGCGGATTTAATATTGTTTTAAGTCAATCATTTTCAAAAAGAATTGTTTTTTTATAAATTGTAATAACATTTTATAAATATATCTTAAAACCTTTTTAACTAACTCGCTAGGCCCTACTACAAGTTCAGAGCAACACTTAAGCAATAAAAAATTACTCAAGTGTTTTCACTCTAAAAGAGTCTGCTCTGCAAGCTTCAGCGGTGCCTACTGCATGGTAGAAATAAAAATATAAACATTCACCTCATTCATTGACGCACAATAACGAATGTGTGATAGAGATAATGGTTGTTTATATTCAAGTTTTCGTTAATTAAACAATGTTTTATTATCTGTGTAGATTAAGAACACTTTAATTTAAGAACAATTAAAAATAATGCATGATGTAAACTGTTATCAGTGAAAGCTGAATGTTTGCAGATCTTGTTATTTTAAAAGTACCTCCATTTTGTTCCATAAACACGTTCACCCTTGCTACAGCTTCGTGCTAAGTTGATGGCAGGGATTTATTTCCTTTGCGATGTACTCTGGGGCATGTATTGCATCACGTAACTAGTCTGTTATTCATAGGAAATGAAACTATTTTTCCGGATTTAAATCGCGTATATTTGTTTTTTCAAACAAACCGACGTTTCGGCCCTTTACAGGTCCCATGGTCACGGTTGACTGAGGTGGTACAGTCTTCCACCAGTTGTCTAATATTAATGCAAACCACCCTATTTTTTCACTATAGTTACAATAGTTATTAATTAAATACCTTATTTTTAATTTTACAAAGAAAACATTTCAATTTACGCTACATTAAGTTTTACAAATTATTTTATTGAATGAATTTTTATTAAGTTTAATTTATTATTAATTATTAATAGAAATTAGAATAACCTAAAACATATTAATTAGTACTGCAGTCTTATGTCTGTTTGGGATTTTTCATTAGAGGAAATACTGGATCCCAAACTGGTGGTACGGAGAAACCATCTTCCCTGTTGAAATTAGGATGTTTTTTAATTTCAATGGCCTCTCGCAGCATCCTGAGCAGATAACGGACTTCTTTTGCAAGGACCTGGGGTTTGTCAAACTTCATTGAATGTGTAGGTTTATCCATGACATGCTCGCAGACTGCAGACTTGTTTACGCGACGTAGTCTGTTATTATTATAATTATGTTATAATAACATCACGCAAGTAATATCACGAGTCTTTTGGAAAGCATTGTAACAATATGTTGTAATGTAAATTTTATGAAAACTTTCGATGCGAAGTGAACGTCGGCGTCGCAGTTTTATTTATTGCATTTAATTGTAGTGATGTTGACTGTACACATATAATAAATATATTGCATATTTAATGTAGCTGTAATTTTTTAATGCAGCTGAGATTGAGCGAATGGGCGGTTTAGGCTCAATATTGTGGTTTCTGGACCGATGGCGATGTGTGCTTTTAATAAAACATTGAAATAAAACTGTTTATTGGGTAAATAGTTATTTTATTGCCAAAAAAATGTTGTATAAAAGTATTCCGTATCAAAAACACATATTTTATTTACATCTTTAAAATTGATAATAATTATTTGCTAGACAACTACACACAGTGACTCGGTCTATTCTACCAAACTACAGAATTTATATTACTATGAGTACCAGAGCACACGGAATTAATTCCTGGGTATTACCCAAAACACCCAGATCAGAACAAATAGATAATTAATTTCCTCATTCCACCATTTTGCAACTTTTAGGTCACCGAGGTCGTCGATTTTATTGTTATTTTCCACAGACATACATCTATATAGTCGCCGCGAGTGTACGTACCTACTTCGCATGCCTAATGTAAGTGCAATACGCTTAGTTGCCGCTGCTACACTTCAGAATCAGAACGCGCTCGACTGCTATCGTAGATAAACACCAATCGAAAACGCGACAAATGCACCATAACTGGGTAAACGAGTAAACTGGGACGTTTCCTTCCACGGGTAAGTGATTTTGTAACCAGAAGATGCATAATTTATATAAAAGTTGGTAGGTCAATGATAAAAGCAATTATTTTCATTTTGTATGAATTTCGAGAAAACAAATATGCAACCGAGTGTATGCCTCATGATTTGTAATACAATGCGGATTTTACTTGATGCGGTATATTTGTGATACTTTGTTATATTTGTTAGATTGTAATATCGAACGAACGCGAAACTGAATGCATTGTATAATGCATTCAGTTTCGTGGTACGGCCGCTTGTACATTTTTTTGACCAAATTTAACATTTAGTGATGTATACGTTAGGCGACACTTCTCGATTCTGATCGATTATGAAAACAATGGGACGAACATTATTATGACCGTAGCAATAATATGAAAATATTCTATACAAGTATCGTTTTTTTTTTTCAGTTTTGTGGTATATCTATTGTCAGTAGTATCTGTAATTTCGAAACTTTTTGCAGCACGTTGCCTCGAATGTCCGAGTATACTGAGCAAATAATTATACACATCGCCGGATATGTAGTACGAGTAACACAAAAAAATAAAACATGCGAAGCATGCAACAGTGCGCTGTCTTTACAAAAACCTGGAGTTGGTTTCAAGGACGAAAGTGGTCTAGTTTATCCCACCTAAGATGCCATCCAAGTATGCAGAATAGCAGAGTTAGAAATCCGAGAAATAATAAACAAATCACAAAAATTTCACACGACGCTGTCATTGATTAAACTTCTTATTAATCGGATTTTACCTTATTTTTATCAGCAGTAATATTTGCAATTGTTTTGCCATGCATCAATTTGATCAATTACTAACAGAAAACCATCTAGTAAAATTAATTAAGGCAGTTCATATATTGACGCGCGTTTTCATTATTTAAGTTAATCGATAAGATCTTCTATTACATAAAGATGTTATATAAAAGATGGAAGGACAATAATTTTAATATTTGAAGTCGATTAAAAATTAAAGTCTTAATTTTTTTAAGCAATCCACATTTTTTAAAACAAGTAAAATAAAGGACTTAACTATCTTATTCTTGTACTTTTCTACTATATGAATATTACGACTACTTGTAATCAACAAATAATTGAACAAAAATTATTCTATTTAGAATCGATTAATTGAATGAAATACGAGTATTTACTCGTGTTCCGTTCAATCAATCGATTTAGAGCGGAAGGAGGTGTCCCATCACTAAATAGTTCTTGTGACGTCATAGCAGCTACAAATAATGTTGCACGCTTAGTTTTCATACAAATTGCTGTACTTGCGGCGTGTATCTAGATATACGTCTGTGTTATTTTCCCTTTAATTGCAAAGATTGAAACACATTCATATTTGTCAATATATGCAAGCTAATGCAAGCTCTTCTTTCTTGGGGTAGATGATTCACTTCCGGTAGGAGTGGCTGCCACACTGGGACCAGGAAATTGGCTTAAAGCAAAGAATATTTATTTAAAAAAGTTTTCATTTTGTCTAATCAACCTCGAAATGCTGAAGATCATATTGATTTCAAACGTTTACCTACGGCTTTTAAGTGCATTTTGTGCACCTATCTATTTATATAAGATCGTTTATGTTAAGTTAATGTAATGGTGTACTTAGTGAAAACTTGTTAGACGTGACGCGTTATAAGCCCCTCAAGGGTTTTAGTGTCTCTTTAACTACTTATCTGATAGAACGTGTGAATACGATATATGAATAAATAAAATAAAATATTAACTTAATCGACTTCGTAATAAGACTTTTAATTGGGCGGAACCGTGAAGCAACAATACAGATACAGAGGTGATTAGTACTTTTTTTTTTTTTTTTATTGTGACTCGGCAAAATGACTGCACCGCGCCTGATGGAAAGTGCGAATACAGTCCAGAGATGAGAGTAACGGATGGAAAACACAAATATCTTCACTCCGTCACTATCATTTTGCCGGTCTGGCCAAATTTGACTGGCTTGATTTAATGCTATCGAAGTCGAAAATTACCGTACAGGTAACTAAATAAGAATGTTTGCAAGTTTGTTGCAAGGAATGTCAAAGTCAAGGAATCGTTTGTAAAATAAATTTACACTTGAAAACGTCGCTTTTAAACTACTGTTCGTTCACTACGCTGACCTTCCTGAGAAGAACGAGCAAGAAACTCTAGGGATTGCTCTTTTCAAATAATCTTAAATGCTATGGAATACACTTCCAATCAAATTTGTATGGAATCTAGAGCCATGTCGTCTTTCCATACATCTTTATCTAACACGCAGTCTTCGATTTCGTAATATGACTTTTCAAATAAACATTTTTAATGTAGTTTTTAAACTTAGGAAATGATAATCTTAATATATGCTCCGGAACGTTATTGTAAAAAGTTATACAGTTCCCCATAAAAGAGTCGTTTACATTCATCATCATCATCATGGCGGCTGTTTTATTATCCAATCTTGGATGTAGGCCTCTTCCCTCTTCTTCCACTCTTGGCGATCTTGTGCCCGACTAATCCAGTCCCGACCTCCATGTCGTCGGATGTCGTCCAACCGGCGCTGTGGTAGTCTGCCGCGCCCTCTGATGTCCTCTCTGAGTGGAGACTCAAGTACTCGCCTTGTCCAGCACCTCTCGTCCATTCTCGCAATGTGCCCCACTCAGACCCGCCTTCTCTTCGCCACGACAATCATGACATCTTTAACTTTGCTCCTATTTCGGGTCCAAGCGTTGCACACTGTTCGAAGACTTTAAGTTTGAGATGTAGGGCATTTTGCCATATAGCGTTTGTTTGTTTGCATCGAATGCAACTCGCGCCTGAACTAACCGTCGTTCCACTTCCGCTGTTTGGTTCTCAAAGTCCTATGTAACCTTATGTCCCAAGTACATGTATTCGGTCACTCTCTCCACTGGAAGCTGGTAGTTTGTGACTTCAAGAATGTTGGTCATGATCTTGGTTTTCCCAATGTTCATTTTAAGGCCAAGTTTACATTAGTTAAATGTAATCGTGGTACCGTCAGTTTGGACTTAACTCTAAGGTTATGGACATCTTTTTTTATTGAAATTATGTATGTCACAGTAAACACTAATTGCGTTCTGGGGCCTTTCCCAAGCACCAAAGATGTGTTCTAGTCGACGCTACCTCGCATTGGTAGTCGATCTACTACTAGTAAACCCGTATTGTTCGTTATGAAAAGTGTGATTCCTACCGAAATAGGACAACAATTGAATCAGCAGAACCTTATCGAATATTTTACTTAAAGCTGGTTAAATTGAAACGGGCCTACAGTTGCTAGGGTCAACTTTCCTACCGCTTTTGAATAAAGGAATAACCTTGCCGTATTTCGTCAAATCGGGAAAAACACCTTCGTCAACGCACCTATTGAGAGCAACAGTCAAATGTGGGGAAATTAGATAAATAACTGAGTCTATAATTTTCAAGAGAAGGTGAGGGATTGCATGTTGTGTACTGTTCGCAGCAACGTTTCCCGCAAGCGACAGCGTCGCCTGGAGAGGACAAGGCAGGCACCTCAGCAGCCGCCGCAGCTCGGCCGCCGGCGCCGGCAGCAGCGCGCTCGTGCGCAGCGCCAGGCACGGCGCGCCCGCGCCCACCGCCGCGCGCACCTGCGCCACAGGCCTTTTGGGGAACGTAAACTCACAAACACGCCTACGCAACTTAGACACCATACACGTGCCGCCGCGAGGATTCGAACCCCTTGATTGAGAAACGACCGTTTTCCACCGAACTGCGTACCGCCGTTATGCTTGCCGTTTTAATGCAACGATCGACTACACTGACTGGTCTTGAGCCGTAAACTTTCCAACACAAAATTAGTAAAACTTCCTTGTGAAACCGTTTCGGTTTCGGCTGCAGGTAATCGGAAATTTGATATCGAATTTGAACAGAAAGAAACGAAAAAATGCACGAAACCGACAGAACGATAGTGAAATTACTTACAGTTCCAATGTTGGCTTTCATGTCGGCTAACTTCTTATTGAGGTCGTGTTTTAAACCTTTCATCATCACGAAATCTTTCTCCAGGATTCCTTTTAGACCTGAAACACCAATGGTACATTTGCAACAAGATAAAAATTATGGTTATTCCTGGAGTATTTAAAAATTACCAGCATTTTCCAGTAATGTGTCCAAATCGTAATGGGCTACAGGTTCAGCCGCCGCTGGCGACAACAGCTGTGAATCAGGGAAGCCAATCGTTGACGCGATGGGTGACCGAGACCGAGGCAATGCCGGGAGCGAAGGCGGTGCGGGAGATTCGGCTGAATCTAATGTGAAGGTGGTAAAGTTACACTTACATTTTATGTCGCAAAAAATATTAAACACTGAAGAAAAAGTAAGGCAAAATTACAGTACACAGTTAATTCCGATGCGAAGCGAAGAGAAGCCATACTTTCTACACGCAAGTTTTCATATTTTTACTTCCCTAGTCCACTTACTTAACTAGATGGCGAAGAACCGGACATCATGGACGTTTTTTCGTAGTTGAATTGATCTACCCTACCTTTGAACACATCATCGGGCAGGTCCCAGAACGAAGGGCGCCTAGCGCGCAGCATGTCTCCCGGCGGCGGCAGAGCAATGCCGATGTCCTCTGTGCTTAAAGAGATTGTGCACACGTAGTCGCAACAGGTGACCAGCAGCTCGGGACGGTCGAAATGGTTATACTCGCTGAGGGATGGACATGTCGCAATGTTAATGGCCATCCATTATCGGCAGCTAAAGTATCCTTATGAAAACTAGCATTCACCTTGAACACGATATGTACTCTGCAAGTCGTCACTGTGCAGATTCATTTGATCAGTTTTCACACTATAAGCATAATTATTTAATTTTTATTTAATTATTTAATTTGGGAAACTGCGTCATGTCTTCTCGTCACCACTCCCACAGTGCCTGAAGACCAGGGTTTACAACCAATGCGTCCTACCGGTCATGTCTTACAGAGCCGAGACGTGGAAAATGACGGTGAAACTGGCTCACAGACTACACGTCGGTCAGTCGCTCAGCGAGCTATGGAAAGGTCTATGCTGGGTATCTCGTTAAGGGACAAAGTCTGGAATGAAGTTATGGACATCGTCCAGAAATGTAGCAAGCTGAAGTGGCAGTGGGCTGCGACATCTGTCGCAGAACCGATGCGTGATGGAGTATACGGGTTTTCGAGTGGAGATCACGTCTCGGCAAACGTAATGTAGGACGTCCCCCTGCAAGATGGACCGATGATCTGAAGAAGGTCGCGGGTAGTGGTTGGATGCGAAAAACGGGTGATCGGGCACTATGGCGTACCCTTGGGGAGGCTTATGTCCAGCAGTGGACTGCAATAGGCTGATTGATGAAGCATAATTATAATAATGCAATAACTTAACAAACGAGATACCGACGTTTTTCATTTAAACAGTATTTAATTGAAGTTTGTTTTTCAGAAACTTAGTTGCAAAATTACATTCTTATAATTAATGCACAATAATAGCCTCATACGGTGGAATAATAGAAAAATGCTTACGGATCCCCATCTCTACCAGAATATTTTTGCTCGTCCTCAGTCGCCTGCAGCACGAGCCCTCCGCTGACGCTAATGCACACGCTGGATGGTCTACGTGACGAAGAAGCTGGCGCCAAGAGCGGCGGTGTTGGGGTACGGTTGTCTTCTTCTGATACTGGTCTTCGAGCTGGGCCTGAGTGAATGTAAATTTAATGAATTTTCTTTAAAAGACGTAAGTAAGCTGTTAGATATCGAGTTCTTAGGTTTTCGCGATTGTTACACATAGGAAATGAATCTATTTTTCCGGATTTAAATCGCGTATTTTTTATTTTTTCAAACAAACCGACGTTTCGGGCCCTTTACAGGTCCCATGGTCACGGTTGACTAATGTGGTACAGTCTTCAACCAGTTATGTGACCATGGGACCTGTAAAGGGCCCGAAACGTCGATTTGTTTGAAAAAACAAATATACGCGATTTAAATCCGGAAAAATAGTTTCGTTTCCTATAAACTGTTAGAATTAAGATTACATTCTATAGTCATTTAAGGCGAGCCTACCTCGATGAAGACAAAACGCTCCAAACTCCACTTTCTTGCCGAGCACTCCGAGAAACGGAAAATTGATCTTGATTGTTTGAAGGAGACATTCTTCGTAGATGTCCCAAATGTGGAGCCACTGGAATTGTATAATTTGTTCATATGTAAAACATTGTTCCGATGTTATCGGCTCCAGTGCACCCATACTTACGCAGTTACTGCCATAAGCAAAAACAATCTCTCTGCCCGGCACAATGGCAACATCCAACACAGCAGCAAAACCAGGTGAAGCGAGTGTCGCGAATGGGCTGGTTTGTGTAGACTCGAAAAGGCGCACCACGCCGTCTGCGCTGCCTGTTGCCAGTAGGTGCAAGGACGGCACCAAGTGAAAACAGGTCACGCCCTGGAAAACGTGAATTACGAGTACATACGTCTTCTCAACCATCAATGACAGCAAGTCAAGAGGAATGCTTAGAATTATTTGGACAAATTTATAAATCGTTGGCATGCGCTGATATAGCTTATATCGAACATTCCTATGGGTACTTCCAAAGTTCTATCGAGGTAATTAGTGTTATTATTGTTTGGCGTAAACATTTTATTTCTTTTTACTTCTCATTACCTTGATGTAATATTCTTCGACTTCATGATACAATTAAATTCTTACCCTCTGCACCTTAAACACGTAGTCGTCTAGCAGTCCCGGCACATGTCTGATGCGAACGCTGGCGTTGCAGTCGTGTGAGCAGGACACGAGATAGCGGCCGTCATGCGTGTGATAGAGACGGCGAACCGAACGGGTGTGAACGCGACGCCACGTTGTTATTGAACAGTAAGAAGTGTGAGGAGGAGATGATAGCTCCTGGAAGATAATGATAATATTCATGTCAGGTGAAGGGTTAAGCTATAGGTAGCCGGGTTAACTAAAAAAATGGGTCGCGTCGGAGAACTGAAATGCCAAAATAATATCATTGATATGGACACAGCCTAAACTATTCTCATTTTCAATAATAAAATATAAATAACTGTTGCTGAGGCAGTCGAACTCGCAAATCAAGTACTTACGATTGACGCATCATTACAGCGCCAGAATAATTTACCGCATAAGATTTGACCAAAAGTATGCAATCTGGATTCGTCGAGTAGTGTTAACACAAAAATTTCAACTCACCATCCAGAAATAATAGTTCATATGATCAGTCGACTTCTGGTGGAACAGCGAAAGCTTAGGTTGTAAAAATTGCAGCCTCGTGATTTCTCCTCGCTCTGAGCCCAGAGCCAACTCCGACGTTGCAGCGGAGTACGACATACACTACAAATATTTCATAGATTTTCAATTATGTATATCCATAGTACGTGTTTATATAGAACTTTCAGTCGGAACGTTGCCGTTGACTTAATTATCTTCAAAGACTACTTTCCTAGCACCGTCAAAGAAATCACAAAGACTTTACGTACAGTGGGTATATTAGGAAGACCTGTGATACAGAAGATGGGCGAGTGAGCGAGGGTTGCAGCGTCGTAGACTGTGAGGCTTCGATCTGATGCTGAGAGGATCATGCACTGGACATCCTGCAACATATAAGCAGTTTAGTATGGGTTTTTGCCACATTTCTAAGCATTTTGACTAATACCGAAACAACGCTCTGGTAAGAAACTTATTATAATATTTCGCAAACCAATGATAACCCAATTTGATACATACACTTAAATATACAAAGTCTGTTATCCAACAGTTTTTCACACGACGTTGCCTTCCGCTTCTGTGGTAAAATACCTGGAAAAAGGAGCACACACATTTATCTGCCTATAGAATAATGGTCAGAGAGTAAGTACGTCGCCTCGAGCAAATGTTGTTGTCCAGGTATATATATATATATATACCTCATAGGAACACATCAGCTTGAGCAGGCCGCTGTAAATACCGACGCGGCCCCCCTTCGACACCACCACATAACAGAACGAGTCACCTCGCTCTATGCTCACCAGCTTAACTATGGTCTCACGCTGCAAGAAAGATACACAAAGAAATGAATACATTATGACAGAATATAACTTTAATATAATAAAATACAGTATGCACAAAACGTAATACATAATGAAATAACCTTCACCGATAAAAAAATCAATGCGCTAATGTAAAGCAACAGTGAAATTTGCTGCTAATCAATCAAATTTGGAAAAAAATATAAATATTATTTTATTAAATCAAACCCCAACTTTTTTGGTCTGTGGTATTTTCCACAGAAACTGTTTAAATGTTCGTTATGATAATATTCATTCAACTATAGGTTATGCTTTAACTGTCTGGGGAAATTCTTCTGACACCGAGAGAATGTTGATCTTCCGAAATATCGCGGGTATTCATAAACGTGGCTACTAGAGTATGTCGTTAAACATAGAATAATCATTTATTATTCTATATTTAATTTTACTATAATTTCATTGTTCATATTATACACATCATTTGGAGATAAAAGAAACAAAAAGCGACACAAGGAAAAAATAGACATACATACATCTAGAAATAAACATAAACTAGTAACAAATAAAACCAGATCAGTAAAAACTTTAAAGTAAAGCATAAATCCAAAAAATAATGTTCATCAAACTACATAGTGTTTTGACTTGACAATGGCTATATTTAAGCAAACACTAAAACTCTATTTTGATAATCACGCTTTTTACAGAATGAACGAATTAATTTATTCATATACAAGTTAATGTTCATTTTCTGAAAATAAAATCAATAATAAGCACTTTGCATAGTCATACATGACTATAATTTATATTTATATAATATGTATAATTTTCGACTAAGTCGTCTTGATGAAGACATATTTGAATTGAATTGGCAAACAGAATATTTCTCGAATATTCATTAATCTCTTCTTCTTAACTCACCTTACAATGCACCAATCTTCGTAACTCTTTCTCACCCACGGGCTTCCACACATCAGCCCTGGAACTTGTCTTGCGCGCCCCCACGTCAACCAACCGGCACACAAGTTGCCGCCACTTGACGCGACCCGTGCCGAACGGGTCCAACAGTTGGTACAGTTTGAGGGCGTGGGTCGAGAATTTGTGGCTTCCTGGATGCACAAAATTATTTATTTTATTAAACTACCTTAATCTTGGGCGGATAGCTCGTCTAATCAAAGTGCTTAATGTTGCCAAATTATTTATTTATTTCGAATGCAAGTCATAACAATGCACGTTCCATTAGGTTAGTACTTATTGCTATGACACCCCGCAGGGGTATGGCACTTAATCGCCACATTTTGGCTTAGATTATTGTTCACACATTACAAAATATAATAATAATAATATAATAATAAAAATACGATTTAGATTAAAATGACATGTCAATTATCCATCATCAGCCTTCGTCAAATACATAAAACAACATAATTTAACCAAAAACTACGCAAGTTTGTATAAAATTCATTTAAGTTATAATAGCACTTGTCAATTAGTAACACTTTTAATTTTTTAGTGAAATTTTTGTAATTTGTCTCGCATCTTAGCTATTCGGGTAGTATATTGTGAATCTTTATCGCATTACAATACGGACTATTCTGATAGATGCTTAATGTACTTTGCGGAAGGCTTAATATATTCTTATATCTAGACGGTCTTATAGAAGTGGGTACAGCACTAATGATAAGTTCACTATTTTTTCTAATAAATTTAACCATTTCAAATATGTACATAGAACATAGGGTTAATATTTGTAATTTTTTAAAATGTGGTCAACAAAATTCCATCTGTTCGATATTCGTGATGATACGTACTTACTTTTTTTGTAGACTAAAGAGATCATTCACCTGGTTACTGTTTCCCCATAATATCAAGCCGTATTTTGTATAATTTCTATTCCTAGGAAACTACTTGTAGTAACTTTCTCTGAATTTTTACCGTTTACACATAAGTTTAATCCTAAGTCTGACTTTTGTCGTGGTCTAAATTCTATAACTTTCGTCTTATTATAATTTATTTCTAAGTTGTGTTTGCTAAGCCAGTTAGTTACGTTTTTAAATGTCTGTTCAAAGTGTATCTGGAAGTTTTTGTCGTTTTTGTTATACTTCAAAATAAGGGAGATATCGTCTGCGAATAAAGTACATGGTGTGTGTATGTATTTGTTTCTCCCGTATTCGTGTTTTGACTGTATTCTATTTTTTAAGTAGGAGTATAACCATTTAAAGGCGTCACTTCTAATACCACTGTCATAAAGTTTTTTCAGAAGAATGTCATAGGAAACTTTATCATAAGCCTTTGTCATATCAATTAAAATTCCTACTGCGTAATCCTTTTTATTAATGTATGTAAGTGCCTCTTGTATGTATTTATACACGGCCAATGTGGTCGAATTGTTTTTTCTAAATGCATGTTGGCTTTGGTCTAGTACATTATATTTTTCGTAAAATTGATGTAATCTATTAGGGCTCTTTCGAAAATTTTTGAAATAACCGGTAAAAGCGCTATGGGGCGGTATATACTAGGGTCGGTTTTACCGCCTTTTTTATGTATATAGGTTTAATTATAGAAATCTTTAATAAGTCTGGGAATGCGCCTTCCGTAAATGATTGGTTAATTAATATCGTCCGAGGATAGCATAGTTCGTTTGAGCATTACTGCGGGTATTTCGTCAATTTAATTTCAATTTCAATTTCAATCTTTATTGCTTTTCCATAATGTGTACAAGATGTTATAAAAATACAAAGATCATTTATGGACCCTGTCGGGCACAGCAAAATGAGAGGGAGACATTTTTAATAATTTAGATTATTATTGAAATACTACTTATATTATTTTATAATCTATATGGATATGATGTATTTCAGTGTTATTTATTTTTAAATGACATTGAAATTATTTTTATTTATTTGTATTTACGTCATTTTGTTCCGTAAAGAGCGCGTCTCAGTCAATTTCTTGTAGTTTTTGTTTAAATATATTGTGATTAGAAAATATTCGTTTAGTTTTCATGTTTATGTTTTGTTCTTGATTAATATTTCAGTTATTTTTAGAATAATTCCTTTATGGTCCGATAGTCCTAAGTCCTTCACTTCTGTGGTAAAGTCTTTAAAATTTACAAAAATTAAATCTATGCATGTGTTTGTGTCCTTTGTTGTACGTGTTGGTTGACAATTTTTTTGATAAAAATTGTAACTAACCACAGTGTTTTTCAGCTCAATAGAATTTTTTGAGTTTTCAAGCATGTTAATATTAAAGTCTCCTCCAATTACAATATTTTTACATTTGTCTTTTTTTAATTTTTCGAGTAAACCTACAATAGTTTCGTAGAAAAGTTTTGTTTCACGCTCGTTCCAGTATAGACATATAATTAACGTATTTTGGCATTCAATTTCTAATCCACATAACTCGAGAATATATTCCACCGACAAATCTGCTATATCTTTTCTTTCCTTACATTTCAATTTCTCTTTCGCTACCTACTATACGAAACGAAACGTTAAGGTAGACTTATATGTACGCGTACGTTAAGGAAACTCTATATCACTAAAGAGGTATATAAATTGCCAAAAAAATAAAAGGGATAATGGTGGAAGTACATAGGGCGCACTAT